AACATAATAAAGAGCCCAGAAAAGGAAACTGGCATATGTATGTAAACTTGATGTGTGAGTGAAGTGACTTTGCTATCAGTGAAAACAGAAAGGAATATGTGGTTGTTGTTGTTGTTGTATGCCATCGAGTCAGCCCCGACTCATAGCGACCCCTCCTTGGGTTTCCAAGGCAGAGGCAGTATCACTATGGAAGTAGATTGCCCAACCTTCCTTCCGAGGAGTGGCTGGTGGGTTTGAACCGCCAGCCTTCTGGTTAGCAGTCAAGTGCCTTAGGCACTATACTACCAGAATATGTGGGTAGTGATACTGGAACAACTCCCTATCAGTGTGGGAAAATAATGAAATCAGGTAACCAAATCATATCACACACACATAAATAAGTTTCAGGTAGATTGAAAGACAAAATGTGAAAACCACAAGTATAAAGTTTTCAGAAGTTAATATCAAAATGTCACCATGATTTCTGACTAGGAGAGGATTTCTTTAAAAGATCCTAAAAAGCACAAACCACCCACTACTACATTAAAATTGAGAAACTCTTGTTTATTACAGTTGATAAACTGAAAAGTTTTCAGTTTCACAAACTGTAAAGTTTTCATTTTCCAGACCTGAAAAGACAAGTAACAGATTAGGGAAAAATATCTGCAACGTGTATTACAGGCTTACAGGCAAAGAACTAGGATCTAGGATATATACCAAAAAAAAACAAAGCAACTGCCATCGAGTCAATTCCAACTCATAGCAACCCTATAGGACGGAGTAGAAGTGCCTCGCAGAATTTCCAAGGTGGTAGGAACCTCTAAAAAACAATATAAAAAGTAAAAATAAAAGGAAAATGGATGAAGACATTTCATAGAATGGGAAACTCAAATGGTCAATAAACATGCAAAAAGAGTGTTCAATCTCAGACCACAATGAAATAACATTTAGACCCACCAGTTTAACAAAATATTAAAATCTGAATATATCAAGAGCTTGTGAGGATAAAGAGTACCAGGAACATTTATACGCCATATAGGTAAGGGGTGTAAATCAGTACTACGATTTTGGAAAACAATCTGGCACTACTCAGGCAAGGTGAAGATATAAAACCATATGATTCAGAAACACCACTCTTACACATGCATCTGAGAGAAATGTGCACCCGTGTGCATCAGGAGACATGCTCAAGAAGGTTAGTAGAAATAATGACTATAACAGGAACCCAACTTTACTTATAGTTTTTCTGGGGGATGACTCTTGGGTGACTTCCAGGGTTTGTGTGAGTTGGGACAAATCCTTCCTTGAAGGAAGAATCTAGGCAGTACATCTCCATGTCCACCATATTGTTGTATACTCACACAATACTATGTTGTTGTTGTTATGTGCCATCGAGTCAGACCCGACTCATAGAGAACCCTCCTTGGGTTTCCGAGGTGATATCACTAGGGAAGTAGGTTGCCCAACCTTCCTTCCGAGGTGTGGCTGTTGGGTTTGAACTGCCAGTCAAGTGCCTTAGGCACTATGCTACCAGAGCTCCCACACAATACTCTACAGAAGTGAAAATGAATGACCTATAGCTATCGCAATCAACATGGATAAATCTCACAATATTAATGGTAAAAAAGCAAAAAGAATGTATATAGTATGCTTTTATTTAACATTCACGAACAAGTAAAATGAAAATGTATCACCTAGGGAGATACACACATGGATTAAAACTACAAGTAAAATCAAAGGAATGCTAAAATATAGATGTTAAATACAGAAGTTGCTGAAGCACAGACAGAGGGATAGGATCAGATAAGGGGCACAGAAGAGCCTTCAAAAGTCTTGATACTGTTCTATTTTTAAGCCGGACGGTAGGTGCATGGCTTTATTTTTTGGTTTTAAGCTTATATATGTTGAAATATTCTTTTGTATAATTGTTTTAATTTTTAAAAGAACAAATATTTTCTCCATATTTCAGGAGAGACTATTTCTGAAAGTTCAACCCTGGACCAGGAACAGATGCAGTAACCAAATGTGGCCTCCCAATTTCTCAGCCCCTTGTTGACTACAGCGCTATCTGAGAGGCACCAAATTTCTTTAGCTGACTTAGCACACCCATCTGGTTATTTGGCCAAGGATATGTTATACTTCATGAGTATTAGCACCACTAAGAAATCTTCAATTGTGTTTGCTCATGTAAAAATACTAAGACTTCAAATTTAGAAAGCAAGCTGCAAGGAGGAGACATTACAATGGTATAATTATTCATAATTTACATTTGAATAGCTGTGACTTTGAAAGAAAAATAATTTGCACAAATGTGTGGAGTAAGGCTGAGCTAGAAATAAAACAGAATCCCAGATTACCCTGCCAGTGCTCCAAATTATAGCAGAAGAGGAATCAAGAAGCTTAAATTATATTCTTTTTGAGCTACCACCACCAATGATTATCCAAACCAAACCAAACTCACTGCCATCAAGTTGGTTCTGACTCACAGTGATCCCCATTGGGTTTCTGAGGCAGCAAATCTTTATGGAGGTAGATTGCCCCACCTTCCTTTTGACAACGCCAACCTTCTGGTTAGCAGTCAAATGCCTTAGGCACTGTACCACCAGAGCTTCTTATACCAAAACCAAACTCAATGCCATGGAGTCGTTTCCCACTCATAGCAACCTCCATTGGGTTTCCCAGACTGTAAATCTTTACTGAAGTAGTTAGCCCCGTCTTCCTTCCACGGAGCAGCTGGTAGGTTTGAACCACTGACCTTCTTCTGGTCAGCAGTCAAGTACTTTATCTACTATGCCACCAGAGCTCCTTCTTCTTATGGGAGGTAGCAATTTCTCTTAGTATGTAACAGGGCTCTGGTGGCTTAGTGCCTAAAGCATTTGACTGCTAACCAGAAGGCTGGTGGTTCAAACACACCAGCCACTCTTCGGAAGGAAGACAGGGCAATCTACTTCTGTAGTGATATCGCTTTGGAAACCCAAGGAGGGGTCACTATGAGTTGGATCTGACTCAACAGCTGTGAGTTTGGTTTTTGGTTTGGAAATAACAGGGCTAACAACTTGCCAAGATGCTCTGCAAGAACAAAACACTACCACTATCAGAAATGCTGGTATTTCTATTAAGTTTAACTTCTGAGGACCCATCTTATCTGTTGTTTGGTGGAAAGTCAAAACACAAGTTTGAATTTCTTCACAGATGAATGAAAGATAGATGGAAGCCAAGAATCCATCTGGGTTATACACAGCTTTTCAACCACAACCACGTTACTGAAACATATGACTGTGGCATTTCACACTTCATCTGAGGGCTCGTTTGCAGTCACCTGCCATTGCTACACAAGGTGGGAGTTAAAAGAAAGTATTACTTTGTAGACAAAAAGGGACTTGGAAATGTCTAATGTATTTCAAACCACTAAACTCTCAAAAATTCGTTAGACATGTAAGAGATTTTTTAAATTCCTCTCCCCATCCCATCCCACTCATAAAGCTTTACTAATAATATGATTAACACCAAACTCAAGCCTTCAGCTATTAAACATATACGACTCTTTACTTGAAACTAATAACCAGTATGTCAAGGCAACGAAGCCTACAAATAATTCTGCTACAAACCACAGGGCAATGTAGACATACACTGCTGCTGTTGTTAAGTGCCGTCGAGTCGACCTGACTCATAGCGACCCCTCCTTGGGTTTCCCGGCGGTATCACTACGATAGTAGATTGCCCTATTTTCCTTCCGAGGAGTGGCTGGTGGGTTTGAACCGCCAGCCCTCTGGTTAGCAGTCAAGTGCCTTAGGCACTAAAGACATACATTAGCAATGGAAAACTCTGAATGGAGTTCAGCAGAGAAGAAGTTGCAGGTATGAGAATTTAATACCCCTCCAAAAAAAAATACCCTCAGATAGTCTATGGTGCTTAAGGAAAACCAGAAAAGAGAGAAGGGCAAACACACTGAAGTGGCTGGTCCAATGCCAGAGGCATCACTGCCTAACAGCTGAATTTAAGTCTTGTAGAAACACCATCATTTACAGTAAACTACTATTCTTAAAAAGAAGAAAAAAAAAAAAACTAGGAAATCACTAAGTTCCTCTTCTTCGAAGTAGACAAAGGCTGGGAAGGCTCAGAAAGTAACTTTTCACTCTTTCACCAAAATCAAAACAAGGATTTTCGTGACAGGTAAAAAAAAAAAAAAAACCAACTGGAATGTATCCCAGTTCTCCCTGAAAAAGCCGGGCGGGAAGTCTGGCCCTCACTTTGTCCCCCCCCCCCCACACACACACACACACACTGGCTGCTCTGCACAGGTGGTGTGCTTGGTGGTAGTGGAGGTGGCTTGATGCTTCTTTGGAACGCAGCAGGCACTCAGTTCAAGGTTTAGGGCCTGAAGGCCCACCCCTGCCCTCTCTCATTCACTAGGGAAGTACCATGCCCCCTAAATCACTGACACTATTCGCATATAGAGAGAAACACATCCCACAAATGTGGGGAAGAATTGTGCAAGTGTTAAATATTTATATAATGCAAACTTCCAGGAGCCCCTATCAGTCCGATGAACCCTCCTATACGGTGAGAGACAACTGAAGCACAGAGAAAGACCCTCTCCCACTCCCTGCAGCTTTGGCCGGGTAAGCAGAGTCCAGGCAGCTGCTACCCCACATCCTCCCTACATTAAGTGATGCTGAGGGTACCACTAGTGACCCCGGCCTTCTGACTAAGAGTGAATTAGTCTGGGTAACAAGCAAGTCAAAAGCAGAAGGACTAGCTAGACAAAGTAGTGTAATCCAAGCCATGACCTGCCTACACTCTGCACTTCGACCTTCACCCTATGGCCAGAGGTGTGGGTGGCAAAGTCAAAGAAGCTAGGTCTACAGAGAGAATAACTCATGCCTTCAGCGCCAACCTTCACATGGAGGCAGGGGCCACAGGCTGCTCCCAGTCGGGCCCATGCCCATCAGCCCAGTCTGAGCGCTCAAGACCCTCGTCCTCCCCCCAGGCCAGGAGACCCCGACGCACGCCTCTCGCACCTGCGCCGCTATTTCGGGCCCCGGCGGCCGCAGGCGCCGCCCGCTGCGCCCGCAGCTCGGGCAGCACGTCCTTCCGGAGATCGAAGTCGACAACGAGACGCAGAGCCATTGCCCGGA